AAATATGTTGAAAATTAAAAACAAAAAAATGTCATAAGAAAATTGTTAGTAAAAAATTGAAAATTTTTCTTTAACCAATTTAAAAAAATGTGAAATGTAAATGTAAGTCTTTTAATTATTCTTTAATCACTTTCGGTCTGCTACCAAACTCAAACAACTGTAAACAATCACATGATTTTGCTTGCTGCCGAGTAACACATATTTACAGTTATATTAAATGACAATATTTTACCTTTGCATACAACTTTAATCTTGTTGTGATTCTGTCTGTAGACAACCACTTTCTTTATCGAAAAATAAGTAATGCTAAGAACAGGGGGAATATACAAACAGAAGGTTTTTGGAACAACGCTAATATGAATTTCTGCCAACGAGAAAGAAAATATGCCTTTAAATAAATTAATTCTAGTGACCTAATGTAAATTTCTCAATAATTATGAATTTTCCAAATAATTTTGCAGATGCCTTGTATTGTCTTGAATTGCTTTAAGACCTGTATCAAATAAAATATATTCTTCACAAAAAATAAAATAAAATTAAATATTAATGCAGCATATGTTTGTTTGTATAAAACATGAAATAAATAATCAAATAAAACCAGCAAACACCATGACTAGTAATTCAAAATACTAGCATTAAAAAGAAACGGCCTTGAACCGCCTGAGCGACCGCCAAATTTGTAAATGGTTTATACAAAGCATTTCGATCTGGTAAGCATAATTTTATACGACCACATTAGCATTAACGTTTTCGGCATTTTTCACATTCAAAGGCAATGTTATATTTTCGAAGCATTATAATGCCACAAATAGTCAAACTATGGAAGACCAGCATATGAAATATGAACAGAGTTACTTTGGCATTTCGATTTGCTTCAAGTGCACCATAGGTCATTGGAATTATAATAGTCAAAAAGCTAAACAAAAATAATTGAAATGTGGTCTGTTCGGTTCTTATGTGTATATATTCTAAACTTTATCAATATTTGTGCTCGAAAACCGAATAAATAAGCACCACTTTAAGTATTTCAAGGCTGTTTACAACAACTTGTAATAAAATCAAGTTAAATCAAGTCTTGACACACATTTTAAAAAGCATCAAACGTATTTAAATGGCAAGCAGCGACTTTTAAGTTTCAATTGGCCGATCACCTTATTTGAAGGCGTGTCACAAACCAACACGGTCGCATTATCAAAAAAAAAAAATTTTTTTTTTTTGTTCGAGCATTCAATATATGAATAAAAAATGATATAACAGTCAACGGACTATATACTTTGTGTAACTAAAAGTGAATGGGCCACAAAATGCAGACACGAAAATTTTCTCACAATTTGAAATTACATGTTTAGTTGTTGCTACAGCAAGAAGCCTTAAATTTACTCAAAATCTCCAGTTCTATACAATTATGAAAGGTTAAGGTGATTTTTCGTGGCAACGCTTATCGAAATTGATCTTCGTCAGAATGTTTTGCTCACACGAACCCAAATTTTTATGCAAACAAGAACATGATCAGTCTGCTTTAGGTAAAGAAAATATTCAGAACTGATGTTGGGATGACCAAAGTGTCGTCAACAACTGATGGATATTTTGAGGAAATAAATAAAAGAGATGGGCGATTAAAAGAGAAGCTGACAGTTTTTTCCGATATTTTGGTATATTGGACCTTGTTACTAATGTGCTGGCTTAGGTTAGGTTAAGTTAGGTTGTATGGTTGATACAAAATCGATTCATCTCACTTTGATAGTTATATGCTCTTTGTGTTACCCATAAACTCCTGAAACTGAATCACTTGAGCTTACAAGAAATTCATTAAAGCGGTTAATATCAATCCTAGCCATTTTCTAAACAATTCCACCATCTGTTCCGCTATACAGCTTTGACAATGAGCGTCCGACAGAATATTTAGTCGCACCGCGTGTAAAGTCAGGATAGTGTCCAGTCAGAACGCCTACAATAGTTCAAAAGAACTCGTTTCAATCAGGGCCATAGGGAAGTCGCAGTCGCACAAGTTCTGATTGATGACCAGCGCGTGCTGTGCTCACTGAAGTTCTAAAGGTCCTGCGCCAGAACGTGAGAAGATTTTGCAAACTAACCAGCTTCCAACCGGATTAATTTGGGGAAAAAGTGCCCTCCATAGCAAGCTAATCAGTTCACTTTTCGGCGATTTCTCTAACCGGGCACCTACGGAAGTCTAATATGGAAGAAGTTTGCAGCTATTGCTAATGAGACCATGATCTCCTTGATCAGTTTAGCGGGCACAGTCGGTCAAAACGAGTATAGCCGAGCGCTTATCGGAGTGAATGCATATATCTTCTTTGAAGTACATCTACTCTTACCTAGATGGCACCCAACTCCGCTTGAAAGATTCTACACTAGTCTGGTGGTCTGAAAGAAGAGTTGATAGAGAGCTCTTGACAGAAGACTTGGACGTTGGAGAAGGGGTGCAGTGAGCTTTTTCACAGATGCATCGCAATGTTAAGAGCAAGAGTAGATTGACTTCCTCTTAACTTCGCAATCCATTTGTGAAAAAGCTCACTGCACCCATTCTCCAACAGTTTCGCTCCGCACACAAGCTCCTCGTATGTGTGTGAGCAGAGATGAAACCGCCAGGGAAGGATTCTAGATTGTAAGGAATGCAATCGAAGTAGTGGATAATTCTTTCCCTGCTCGGGGCCCAATATATACCCAACTTCCCTAAGTTTAATTGTAGCCTTCGCCTAAAAGCATCTACCAGTTGCTGATTTAAAACAGCTGAATCTTTCCACTTGCATGAAATCTTTAAAGAAGTTATTGTTGAGCTTGATTTACGAATCATGGTTTTATGGCTTTAAGTTGGCACTAAACACATTTGGTGTTGTTCGATTGAGGCTATGTATGATTCTGTATTTTATTTCATACATTCATGAGAGAAATAAAAAATATGCAAATTGAGATATATCTTGCACCATTTCGTGCTATCTTACTTCGTAGTGCTTTTAACTATGCCGATTTCCTTTTCCATCCAATTTTAGAACCAAT